ATACAATATTAGAAAAGCTATGTTTCTTTTTTGCTCTAGTATAGAATTAAATGTAGATATTAAAAATAGAAGCTGTGTAATAGAGCAAAAAGGAGTTGAAGTCTGAAGACTCCTATTCTGCTACTAATAACCAAGGTGCAAGTCGCTGGATTATGAGAGACCTTTCTGCACTTGGCTGTGTGTTGCCTGGCAGTGTTAGTCCTGTGGGGGTGATGCTTATGGAACAGATGAGTGAAGGAATCCTGATTATAAAAACTACCTGATCTCTTTGGATCTTGGTTGTCTTATCCATAAAAGAATGTGTTGAAGTAACACTTAGATCTCTTTTAGATGCTATGGTCTATAAAAATTAGTGACTTTTAATTCAACATATCTTCATCAAGATCTGCTTAAATCTTATCAAAGCAGGAAGAGAGAAGATTGTATTTTTCATACATTAAAGTCAGACTGATCACTGCATATTTTTCTAATATAAACACCAAGGTTGAGAAAATTTGGTGTTTATTACTGGCTATTTATTTAGAAACAATTCATTCAACATCATACACAACTTTTTATACAATGTCATCAAATGGGTTTTGATTGTCATCCTGTAGAACTCAGACATATTACATCAAAAGTGAGGAGGGAAAGGATACATCAGTCATTTTATAATCAATTCGACAAATATTTGGTAAATGTTTGCTTTATTCTTTACACCTAACCTTTCAATCTAAGCTAAGATTCCTCAATTTATATGATGGGTCAAGCTAATGGTATAATAATCCTTTTAAATATTAAATTTTATGAGCTGCAAGACATAAAATTTAGAGAAAAATCATGGCAATGGGATAGAATAATGTCACTTCAAATGTTTGTTAATCTATCTTTCCCCCCTCCTCCCTGCCTTCCTTCCTCTATCTCTTTCTCTGTCTCTCTCTCCATCAGAGTGTCTAAGTAAGTACTGGAATTTAGTTATTTTTCCATGTGCCTGACTGGATGCCAGTATAGCACATGAATAGAATACAAGAGAAGAACCATCTGGTTAATTTATATTTATCTCTTACTTTAGTGTAGATTAGGGCCATGGAGGAGGTCGTTGTCCAGAATGGAAGGATAGCACATATCTACCTACTGTGAATTAGGGAGTGGAAGTAAAATTCAATTACAGGTGATAGCAATTTCCATTTCTCATCACGGATTTTTTATTTTTAACTTTTCATCTTGGAAGACATATTTGACTTTAAATGCAATTTGCTTTGGAAAATTTCGTCATCAGGCCATGATTTTATTTCTCCTGAAAACTTGCCAAATCAGAAATTGATGTTGGTGGGAAAATATTCCTGGGTCTTCTAGAAAAATTTGCAGTTGTTAAAAGTTGTTATAAGTTGTGTTCAATTCTCAGCTCCACTATTTCCTAGTTGTGGGACCTCTGGCGATTTGTTTAGCATCTCTGAGATTAGGTTTTGTCATCTGTATGTGGTACTTAACTCATAGATGGTTGTGAGGACTTAAGGAGATCACAAAGGTTAAGTTCTATAGCCCAGCACTGAGCATATGGTAAGTTCCTAGTCATGGTAAATTACCATCAATATGGGGAACTGAACTACAAGAAAATCTAAGGGTAAAAAAATAACCAAAGAAAAAATTTGAGCTTGTCAGTATTTTTGACACATTTGTCAGTATACTATTTACGAGAAAAATATTTTAGCAAAACAATGAGGCATTTCAAGGACATGAAACCATTCCTTACTGAGAGAACATAGACCACAAAAGTTGACTGGAGTTTTACGTTTTGGGTTTAGATCACTGCATGCCATGTAACAAGAGTCCGATTTCTTTTCTTATGGGATCTAGAAAAAGAGCTTCAAATGGATGATCAAACAACATGATACCTTAAACACTCAAGGGAGCATTTCTGAACCCCTCATTTCTGTGGGCAAATGGCTGCTTGCCATTTCTTCCACTTGGCTTTCTGCTGTGAGCACAGAGGCTGTGTTCGAGCTAGCCTAATTGCTACAATTAACAAAATTAAATGGCTCATTGTGTTTTTATACAATTCCACCCACATTTTGAGGAGTTTTCCTGTTGAATGAGTAATCCTACTGTTGAGACTATTGATCGCAGGCCCAAATTGAGTCTTTCTGTATGCCCATTTCTAGGATAGCAACTGGACCAGACATAGATCCGGAAAGAAAGCTCTGCAGTGGACAGTGCAGCCTGCTTGAGTGAGCAGGGGAGATTCAACCCAACCTCTGAGATCACTTCACAGCCTGAGACAGGCCAGGGCCAGAGACTTGGAAATGGAGGTATGGTGCAGGGGGTGAGTAGGGAGTAAAAGGAAATGGTCCTTCCTCAGCCATGTTGAAATGCCCTAGCTTCAGATGGGGAAGAAGGGTGTTATGAGTCACAAGCTGGCTAGAAGCAATAATTTTGATTGTTTTAGAAGTGACACTGGACTGTTGAAGATAAATGAACATGAGTTGATCTGCATCCGTCACTGAGTTTATAGGAACAACCACCTCAGATCATCTGTGTTTTAACCATGGACTTCAAGCATCCTCTGAGCTGTATTTCTGAAAGACAGTCTGAGCTATTTTTAAAAAGGCTTTAAGGAATTCTCCTTAGAAACATAAAAATGCAGACATCTCATCCAAACTTTATATAGAAACAGTAATGGCTAATGGCAAAGATGTATGCAAGTGCAGGGGAGCATATATTTAGTCTAGAAAATGGTTCATTAAAAAAAAAAAAAGGATCCTTGTCTAAACATTGTGGGAGAACTTATTCCACTCAATGGCATTTGGTACATTGAAAGGCGAACATGTAGCTTTACACAATCCTGCTAAGAACACAAAAGTTTTTCTTGGCTCGATTCAACCAGTTGGAAGAAACCAAAATGATTCAAAACTATTCTATTCAACTGCTTAAAAGATGAAAATTTTAGGAGTGATTCGGGTTATTTAAGCTCAAAGTTGCATCTAGGTATTTCCCACCTTATAAGTATGTGGATGTCTTATAGACATTGACTGTAAGCTTGGGCTGAAAAGGAGAAAAAAGCTTTTCCACTTAAATTCTTGTGTCGGTAACACACCAGTTAATATGCATGGAAGGGCAGTATATACTTCATCTTTTTCATCTCTGTTCCTTTAGTTGTGTGTGTATGTATGTATATATATTTGTGTGTATATATATATGTGAAAAATACATGTGTATTATATATACATATATAACATATATGCATATTATGATATTTTTAAAAATAGTCATTGAGATTTCAATGATTCCCATTCAATTTTAAGTGGTCAGTGCTATCACCTCATTTATTCATAGGGTAAAATAGATTGTGCATTTAGGAATTAAGCATACATACGTCAATATACATTTATCTTCGGGTTATCTTTATATTTTATTGTGCTATTTTATTGTGTATATTTATTGTGCTAATACTTGAATTGCATGTTCTTGCCAAGTCAGTAAGAAATCTATTTCATTTGCTGGGTTCACGGCATTATCATAAGTGGATAGTAACTGAGTGTCTGCAAAGTCAGTGTTATCAAATGAGACAGCACATAGTTAAGTAGGACAATGTTAATGGCCAAGAGAATTTAAAGTACAGTCATTATGGGGGAACCAAACTGATTTACATGGAAAAAATTTTTCCTCCACACAAATACTTAAAAATCTCAGTCTGGTTAAATATATATGTTCTTTAATCTTAAATATGGTTTCATTTCAAAATGCTAATTTGAAAGTGAAAAAAAATGTTTAACATTTTCTGTCAGAAAATTTTATGGTCATGTGCAAAAAGTGAGTGCTAACAGCAGGACCCTCTCCTCCCCCTCAGAGAATCCAAGTAGACTCAGGCATAGGAAGTCGGGTCCCACAGAGGAAGAATCCAGCATTTCCAATCTATATGTTAACCATAGCATATTCTTTTTGGATTTTCTGGTTACTGTCTGTGAAGCGTTTCATGGCAGATTGAAAATGAAATCTCAGGAAGAACTAAAACACAAAGACAAAAATCAAACTTTGTTCCATTGTACATTGACAATGTCTCTTTAAATCCTAATACTTTAAACTCTCTGTTATCTGTGTACCTAGAAACTAATAACGGTTCTCATCACCACACCATCTGAGGACAGTGAAGTGATTTTCTGAATCATGGAAAGAAGATTAGGTCACGATTTTCCTCAGAAGTAAAATTTTTTTTTTTTGGTTCTTGGAATTTTGAGAAAGTTTGGAATTTATGGTAGAAATGTCATTTCCTTAGCAAGAATTTTTGACTAACTGAAACACCAGTCTTCAAGTATGTTGGATAACAGAGTATTTACAGTATTTGGGAAATCACTGAGAAATGCAAACGTCTTAGACCCTCCTAACTGTATTCTTACCTCCAAGACAAAGCGCAGAACATTATTGTTTATTCATACAGCACTCATTTCCATTCTTCACATGTTAAATGAGGGATCAAATTGAGAAATAACTCAGGACTTACATGATTGAGGCATGGTGGGGCCTGCTGAGTTTGTGTTGATCGACCACTCTATCTGTAATCTGGTATTTACTCATGGAATCAAAGGTATAGTTCAACTGAGCCATTGAATTTCCAAAGATCATCAATTAAAAGTTTTCTTGGAAATAAGGAAGCTAATAACTCATGGTCCTGCACAAAAGTGAAGAATTTTTGCCAATATAATCATTTTTTTCCTTCTACAATGGGGATGCAATGTTTTCACCAATTGCTGACAAGAAGAGCGTCTTCCTGGGCCTCTACTGGCGACTAGGTAATCTTTTCACATCCGAACAAGAGGTTATTATTTTTTAGTGGAAATCTTGCTTGGAGGATCAAATCATGGAGTACTAGGAAAATACGTCTACTGATTTAAAAAAAAAAAAACCAGCTATTTTTAAAATATTGCTCTGGGGCTTTGTACCAAAGGAAGTCATAGGTTGAGCCCTCTGCCATTTCCTGTGGATGTGATGGGGACAGCAGTCTCTATGACATACCCATACCCACTACAGAAGGTGGCTATTAAACATGACTAATTTAAGTGGATTGTACAGTCCAAATAACCGAATAATTAAGCTAAACGGACTTTTTCTCTTCTCTCCCTCTCTCCCATCTTTTTTTTTTTTTTTTTTTTTTTTTTAGTGACTTGACTAATAGTTAATATATAAGTTGGGTTAATATAAAACCAGGGAAGGAAGTTTAAGACATCTTCCACTGTGGTCAGATTTGTGAGAATGGATGGATGAAAGTAATCATTTACAGCTTTCACATCCTGGGAAACATTGGCCAGTCTTGACAAGCCCTTTCTAGTTAAGCTGATTCTCTTGTCACCTGATATTCTGATAGCACCCCTGGCCAGGTTCCTGGGGGCACCAACATTGCAAAATTGGGTGATCTTGCAAAAGACAAGCGTTCTCAATGTGCTGAGGCAGGCTGACGAAATTTGTGGACCAGTTTCTGATATCCCAAGTAATTATGATGCTTAAAGTATTTTAAACGATTCCAGGTCTATAAAAAAAGTGATGATGCCTATATGTATACCCTATATTTTTATTACAAAAATATTGAAATAATCCATGAGTTATTCCACTCTGCACCAACTATAAAAAAATACTATCAAAGTTTGACCGGCACTTTTAATGCAACAGAAAGCACCATGACCGAGGACACTGGGAACAGAAAGCAGGGAACGTTTACTTGCTGTACGGAGGTATTTAAAACCCAGAAGTTTGTTGTAAGAGTGCGACTTTACAAATGGTTCAAATACAAATCTTAGCTGGATCTAGTGATAAGCCCTCAATCAGTTTGGAAGGTTTTCCCATAGCATATTCACTGCATTGTCTGCTCATACTTACTAAAAAGTGTCCCAAAGCCTCTAAAAGACACATCACTTTGACCTTGGATTGGGGGGGGTAGTCTGTACACAATGGGGAATGTGATGGTGTGCTCTCACGTCCACGTTTGGGGGGCTCATGCCACTCGTTCTCGGGTGTTTGGGACTTCCACGTCAGTCCTGTGGTTGGATGGTGTTTGGCACTAGGAGGGTGTGGCATGGCATGCTCTGTAGCCTTCACACAGAGCCACGCTTTTCTGCGTCTTGAAACACCCAGTTCAGCATGTTTCTCTCCTGCCGCTCTGCACCTCCTTGCCTGTGTGAACTGCGGTAGGCCGGGAAGTCAGATGCTTGTTTTTGCCTTGTTTCCCTGCTTCCTCTTCATGTACTTATTAAATTTTTGCAACTGAATACTGAATCATGATTATCACTTAATTTACATCACGAAATCACTGAGCTCCTTGGTCTTGTCGAAAGCCATAGATGTGCTGCATAGGATTTCTGTCAGAAAGGATGTTCTCGACTGAAATTTAAAATAAAAAACAAATCCTGAAATGTGTTGAAAATGAACCATTCCATTGATTTGAATACATATGTAAACGACAGTTGAGTTTGCTGTCCATGGTAGGATTTGCACGCATGGTAGTGGTTTCCAAATGAGAATGGTCTATGAAATTCTTTTCTAAGTAGTACTATTTTTTTGTTTGTTTGTTTTTTCTGGAGTCTTGAAGGATATATTCTCTCTCTCTTTGTTTTTATATTCAGAATCAGAGCTTTGCATCAAGAAAAGAAATCATCTAAGCTATTTTGACAGAGGACTGGTGCCGTGTGTGTTAGCATGTGTGTGTATGTGTGTGTGTATGTGCGTGTGTGACTGAGTATATTTTTATGCAAAGATCAGTTAACTCCATCAAAACACCCTATTGATTGGAGGCAATGTTTTCCGTGCTCATGGTACCCTCTGGTGGACACGCTGAAAGTGGGCAGGAGGGGCTGGTAGCAACAAGGAGTCCTACTGAGCAGGCACGGTTTGGTTCGGTTCTTTCCCTTCAGCTGCTCTTTTGAAAGGAGACCAGCAGCAGGCGGTCAGCTGACGGAGGGTCCGACGAAGCACATTACAGCCCGTTGCCCTATTCTAGGACAGAGTTTCATTATTGCCACGGCCTTGCTGTTACCCCTTCCCTGGAGGTTGTGGCTCCTCCGAGGCCTTCTATTTTATAAAGTGGTTTCATACTCCAACCGCTCCTGAATAAGGGCATCATCTTTGTACTGCAGCCTTGGAGGAGACGGGGAACATTCAAAGGCTAGAATGGCCTTTCGAAGGCTTCGGTCCAAAACATGTCTCTCCCACGCCGGGTACCTATTCCTGAACAGGTCAATTTTAATGACAGATTCTTCAATCCGTGGTGGGCGAGAGGATGGTGTGGACGGGGCAGTGGGCCTCACCTGAAAGACAGGGACACACCCATCCCGCTCTGCGAATTTCTGGTCGCGGTCACTGGCGACACTGCGGTTGTTGGAGATGGACCGGAGTGTGCTTGTGGCCACTTCTGGAGGCAGAGTGAAGGCAGCGACTGGGTCCTCACAAGCACAACTTGGTGACTGCCCGAATCGGGGTCCATTGGGGTGAAAGAAGGCATAGTACATCAGCATAAAAACGACTCCAGTTAAAAAGCTGCTGAATACCACACACAGCGCTGGGATGGCAAACGCATCTGCAATCTGGGGAGCCTTGTAGAGGTACCAGAGGGCACTCAAGGCTGTATTTTCCAACAGGATCACAAAATAGTAAATGAAGAGCCTGCAGCGTGTCCTGCCTTCCTTGACGTTGAACCAGCTGAAGATATAGATGATCCCCACAACCATGTCGAACACAATCTCTTCCCATTTGGTGATGCAGAATTCTGTCTCACAGTGGACGATCCAGAAGGTCATGATGCACCAGTGGAGAACGATGAAGATCCCAAAGTACAGCTGGAAAACTGAGGCAAAGAGGGCAAAGGTGATGACTCTGGCGGCAATGGTAAAGAAGTGCCAGCAGAACTGGATGACAACAGCCATGTAGCTGATAGGCTTCTTGTCGTCTCGAGAGTCCCGGAGGGCCTTCTGGTAGGAGGCCAAGGCCCAAGCCAAAGACACAAGAGAGGCTGCTGCTGTGAAACCTACAAAGGCAAAAAGGAAGACATTCTGTCAAAAGTGAGATGCAGTGCTGTCCCCTGAAAATAAGGCACATAGTACTGGGGACTTGGGACAGGCTAGCTGTGACCTTAGCAAAGCTCTTTATTTCTCAGAATTCTAGCTCAGATGGGGCTCCTAGTGTCTGTCCTCTGTAGGCCCAACCATACAGAGAAGTCATAACGTTAAGTGGGAATGCTGCTCATAACACACATGGGGGTGTGGGATCAGGAAAGCAGGTGGGGGCTGAACTTTCCGTGTATATGATGGAAACAGATAAACTAAGCTGGTGGTTTTGTGGAATTTGAAAATGACCATGGACTGGAGGTTGACACACTGGGTTGCTCTGTCAACTCTGCATGACGTTGGACAGTCATTTAAACTGGTGTCCTCACTTAGAAAGGGGATGATGTGCAAGGTTCCTGACAGCTTTGAGACACTATGGATGAAAGAGATAAATAATCACCGGAAACATGAGGGGCTAGCTGGTTTACCTTTCTGCTTCTAAACAAGAATAAATGCACTTCATTCACAAGAGAAAGTTTACTCTTTCTTACAAATAAGAACAGGAGGCCATAAAACCTCCTTGGCAATGTTTCTTGTCTTACCTGGGATGCAGTTTGTCCTGCTATAATCTGAACATAATTCTTCCTGCAGCTTTTGTCTGTTCCTTACTGCTCTTCCCTTAGAAGAAGGTCTGTCTGCACCATCACTCACCACTTATTCTTTTGTAGAGGGAAGATTGTACTTCTAGAGAAGTATGTTTACAAATTTTGGGAAAGTAACTTTTATTAATTCCTTCCACTTTTGCTCCATCTGTGGTGTCTGAAGCATCACATCACTTGGTTGGTCCAGACATGGACTTGGTTTACCTGAAAACACACTGGCCTTCTTTGGGAGAGAGCTCATGTGGAGAATTCACTTTGCCACAGAAACATTAATCAATCTGCATACTATGCAACATGCTGTGACAAGACTTATCAAGACTAAGAATAGGTTTTGTGTCTTAAGGTCCAGCTGGTTTTCCTCCACAGATACTAATCATAACCAGGCCACATTCTAGTCTTTGGAAGAGAAGGGAAAAAGTAGAGGAAGGATTGCCAAGAACTTGTGGTGGAACTGGTACTTTGCTTTTATATTTATATTTTGCTTTTATATGTTGTCTATGATCCTTGAAAAATGAATTGGAAAAAAAATTACTCTTGGGGGAACGAGGCACACTAATTGATGGAAAAAACAGTCAACCTCAACAATCATTTCTTACACATTCTCCTTGAGTGAGGTGAACTCCAAAAGACAATATTGACAAGAAAATATTTTCCAAAGGCCACTTCTCATTTCCACCCCCAATCAAGCTAGCAGAATGCACACATCTTACTCTGGATCCTTCTGGCCAACACAAAAGTCTTCCATTACCATAATTCTCTGGTGGTTATGGCAATATTTTAAGTCAGTTAGAGATCAGGACACAAAGGAATTTTTGATAATATAATTTCTTTTCTTTTTCTTGTGCTTAAAAAATTTCTCTCTTTCGTTGTTGGTGTTATTTTTAATGGTAATATAATTTCTATGGGGTGGAAAACACGGACATCAGTTGTAAAGCAAATTTGGAAGTGAAAAGAGAAGGTAGGAAGAAAAATTAGGAGAAAAAGGTGAGACAATGGGAAATAAAAGGTCATGGAATAATGACTTTGAGAACCATAGCCTTATTTTCAGTTTATAACATAAGAACAAAAGGTTGTGCTATTTTAATCCCAACACCTTTGAGTGGCATAGGAGCTGCTCATGACCTCGTTCTTTATCTGTACCATTTTTTTCCATACCATTTGCTCTTTGGATTGTTCTGAAGTATACCGTGTCCTCCTCTTGTGTGTGTGTGTGTGTGTGTGTGTGTGTGTGTGTGTGTGTGTGTGTATGTGGCACCCCAGCGTGGAGACAACACAGGAAAACCCGTTCCTTTTCAAACCCCATGCTCTGGGGACCGTGCTCACGCACAGCGCCACCTTCAGGAAGATGGCTGCATTGCTGGTCAGGTGGATAAAGCGTGAGAAGTGGTCATAATCCAGATGGTACCAGTTTTCACAGGCAGACCTTATTAAAGACTGTTTTTCAAATCAGTGACAAATAGTAAAAAACCAAAAACCAAACCTTACATACACAGCATCATAAGATCGTCTGTTGTCTCACTTAAAAGAATTGGAAAATTGGCTTAGTCCAGATTCCCCTGTAATCTTCAACCCTTTTATTGCATGTCCTAAAAAAGTAACTCAGCCTGCTCCAGGACACTCTAGGAACTTGGTAAGACAATATCCTGGCAGTAGAAAAGGAGAGATTTTTCTATTAGCTTTGCTTTCTTTGTATCTTAAAATTTACAAAGTCGATTTTTTCCTATAGCCAAGGCAAAGTTCATGTCCATTGATGACCATCCCCTTTGTGAATTATCTGCTTTAGCAACAATTAGCATTTCCCTGATTCATTTTATTTTCCCCCTTCTGTTTAGCAATTAATTTTTATAAGACAAACATATGCCTGTCCAGGAAATATGGGACAATCTTAGAGTTATTCTTTATTACAAATTCAAATTACCACAAAATGCTTAATTTTTTGCTTGCTTACACAATTTATATCAGCTCAGTTGCTTCAAGAAAGAGTCCCTCAGTAAGGCACTGCATTATTTTTAAAGTAGAATTCTCTGGAACTTCTGGGGCTAGCACATAGAACTCTTAAGTACCATTTTAGCTAACAATGTATATTTTAACTTTTTATTTGAAAATAATTTCAAAGTTAACATAAGAATTGGAAGAATTTTAAAAAGTACATTGAACACCTATGTACTCTTTGTCCAGATTATCACTTGGCCTCCTTTGCTTTATCACTGCCCACCCCTCCCTTTTTCTCTCTCAACCATTTGAGAGTAAATTGCATACATCATGACAACTATGGCCTGAATGTTTCTGTCCCCTTCCATTCATATGTTGAAATCCTAACCCTTAAGGAAGATGGTATTAGTAGAAGGGGCCTTCTTAAATTATGAATGAGATTACTGCTTTATAAAAGAGGCCCCATAGAGTTCCTGATGCCCCTTCTGCCACCTAAGATTACAATGAGAAGTCTTTAACCCAGGAGAGAGCACTCACCAGAACCTGCCGGTACCCTGATCTTAGACTTCCAGCTTCCAGAACTGTGAGCAATGTATTTATGCTATTTATAAACTACCCAGCCTATAATATTTTGTTATAGCAGCTCAAAAGGGCTAAGACAATGGCCCTTTACCTTAAAATATATCAATGTCTATTTATTATGAAGAGGTATTCTTTTAGATAACTACAGTAAATTTATCAACTGTAGTCAATTTAACATTGATATAATACTTTTTTCTTATCTTCTGTATCCACTATCAATATTCCAGTTTTGTCAATTGACTTAACAATGTCCATTATAGGATTTTTTCCTGTGGTACAGAATTGAGTCTGGAATCAGATATTGCATTTAGTTGTCTTATCAACCTAATTTTATTTAATCAGGAATATTTCCACCAACTTTTTTTCTCTGCCTTTTTGACATTGGCATTTTTTGGATGAGTACTGTACCAAAAAAAACCAAAACCAAAACCAAAACAAAACAAAACAAAAAAACCAGTGTTCTTTGTTTTGGATTTGTCTGTTTCCTCATGGTTAGATATTCAGGTTACACATCCCAAGCTGGAATATTACACAAGTGACACTGAACAATTCCCCCCACATACCCTTAAGACAGCAAAATAATAAGGATTCTTTCAGCAGTTCCAAGAAGTATAGGATGTGTCCCTCAGTATTTTCCTTCAAAATAATGAATAGCATATCAGTTACAAAACTTCATTCTAAAATCAAACTCTCAAAACAGCTACGGAGGACTCAGTGAGATTCTATTATTTATTAAAATGTTAAAATAGATAAGACCTCAGAGCTTACGATCTCATTTTATAGAAAAGAAACCAAGTCTCCCTTAGAAGGGTTACATGATTTTCCCTCTTTTCTTCCCAAAGCTTGTTTCTGATGAAAATTTTCTTTCTACTTCAAAGCTAACCCCCTGCTTCCTAGAGAAAAGACCCAGTCAGTTATTCTCCTGTGTCTGTATACCAGCTTTTCCTCTGCAGGAGCTGCCTCCCTGGGGATTACAAACTCCTTTTACCCCAAGAATTGTCCTTCGCTTGACTGAATCTCTTGTCCTTTATTTCAGACTTGTTGCTTTCCTGTTTTTCCTTCTATTTGTTTCTTGTTTCTCCTTTATCTGCTCATCCTTGAGCTACTGGCATTGGTTCGGATGTTGCTCCTGGGCCTCATCCCCTCAAGGCCTCTCCCTGAGAGATTCCCTGCTCTCCTGCATCTCCACCCATCTCACCCAGCTCAGCACTCAGCGAAACCTTCCCTGCACCAGACTTCTCCAACCCCAGAGCTGTGCGTCTGATTATCTCCCTGAGAACCACAGGCCTACAGTCTGTGTGCTTCATGTACCCTTGATCGGATGCCTCGAGAAACTCTGGCTGTAGATGACAGTACTTGTTTCTTGTGGAAAGAAGACAATTCTTCTTCCTCTATGCCCCTATTGTTAGTGTAATACCCTTCTCAGAATGCGAGAGAACATGAATTTCTGGGTAGGCTGCCACAGTTCTAAGAAGATGATTTTGTAGGCAGCTTGATAGACAAATAACCAGATTGTAAATCCATCCAAATCCAAGTGTTCAAAATAAGTGTCATTCGGTTGCGTTGCATATGAAGGGGTCCAGAATAAACCACTGTGGCGTAAAAATTATTTCGAGCTGAAGGCATTTGAGTTCCTGGAATCTCTTATCTGCCTAAAAGCAGAGCATCTTAAAAGAACTCGACTGTCATAAATGCTCTCCTCCCCGGGAGCAACTTGAATCTTCTTGGAGAGGAGAAGTTGGCACTACACCCAAATAGACTATCACAAAACTATTATATCTCCCATCTACTTTCTTAAGTGCTTT